CCCTGCAGGTACCCCTGGTGACAGCCACCCCCACAGTGCCCGTGCTGCCCTGGCTGCTCTCACCCACTCAGGCCCGGCCCTGCTCCCCTAGATGGCGATCATTGTCCTGGCCATTCTCCTCTTCTTGGCTGCCATGCTCTTCATCCTCATGAACTGGTACTACAGGACCGTGTGAGTGACCCCCACTGCCCTGCCCCGCAGACAGTCACAGAGGCAGGCAGGGCCATTAGGCCCTAAGGTGCCAATCCAGCCCCAGCCTCCTTCACAGCCCCTCTGCTTCTTTCTAGACACAAGAGGAAGCTCAAAGCCATCGTGGCTGGCTCCGCAGGTAAGAGGGCTGTGATGGGTGGGGAGGTGGCAGGGTCCCCTGAGGGCCTAGAGTGACCGCCAGGGCCTCACAGGGCTGGCTCAGGCCCACTCTCCAGCCCCAGCAGGGTGTACCCCTCTACCCCACACCCCAACCCTTCTCCTACAGGGAATCGTGGCTTCATTGACATCATGGACATGCCCAACACCAACAAGTATTCCTTCGATGGGTGAGTGGGGTCTCTGAACCCTGCTGGGTGCACTTTAGGGAGACACACCCTGGACCAAGCTAGGGTAAAGTCCTTACTGCCTCTCAAGCCCTGAGGGCATCATAGACTGGCTGAAACCTGGGGTGCGGGTGCCCCCTGCTGGGCCAAACACCCCTCTCTCCACCCTGACTTGTGGGCTGCAAGTTCCAGGGAGGCATAGGTTTTGGACACCGGGTGCAAGGGGAGGCCTCCGCACCAAAGCTGATCCTGATGGGGATGTTGTCCTGGTTCTTGTGGGATCTGTGAGGGGAGGACACACCCACAGGTGCCACAGGCAAGGGGCATTTCTTACCACGCTCTACCCCCAGTCCTGTGACAGATATGGCCGAGGAAACGGTGGGGGCCCGTTTCCCTCAAAGGCATCAAAAGTGTCCGTCCACTCCAGCCTCCTCCCAACCCCACTCCATCTGCAGGGCCAACCCTGTGTGGCTGGATCCTTTCTGCCGGAACCTGGAGCTGGCCGCCCAGGCTGAGCACGAGGATGACTTGCCGGAGAACCTGAGTGAGATCGCTGACCTGTGGAACAGCCCCACCCGCACCCATGTGAGCCTGGGCCGGAGGGGGTGGGGACAGTCATGAGGGACACATACGTGTGTGTACACATGTGCGTGCCATCTACCTCTGCGCCAGCTAATGCCTCCTCTCCCCAGGGAACTTTCGGGCGTGAACCAGCGGCGGTCAAGCCTGACGACGACCGGTACCTGCGGGCTGCCATCCAGGAGTATGATAACATTGCCAAGCTGGGCCAGATCATTCGGGAGGGGCCCATCAAGGTGAGTTGTCCTGGCAGGCTCCTGCCCCCAACCCCTGGCTGGGCTTGGACCTACTCCAGAGGATGCAGGGATGGGGGAGGGGCCTGGGAAACAGCTTCCTCCAACCTCCAGGGCCTTAGCTAGACCTGCCCTCTGGGGGGCCAGAACAGATAGTGGCCCTGGGCTGATGAGGAGCTGCTTCAGCCCAAGTGGCCTCAGGGCCAGGACTCTGGCAACATAGGTCCAGCTGGCCGCTGTCAGCAGGCTCGGTTCCCACCCTCTACCCTAGGATCAGATGCCCAGAGGCACCTTCCATTACCCCCACCTGTTAGGGGAGTGAGTGGGGGCAGGAAGGGGAGGGCGTTGGTGGGGGTTAACCCTCTCCCTCCCCCAGGGCTCGCTGCTGAAGGTGGTCCTGGAGGATTACCTGCGGCTCAAAAAGCTCTTTGCACAGCGGATGGTGCAAAAAGCCTCCTCCTGCCACTCCTCCATCTCCGAGGTAGCGGGTGGGCCGGGAGCTGTGTGCTGTGCCCCAGCCCTGGGGGTGCTCTCTCCCTCTCCCTGTCTCTCTTTCATCCTCGGAGTCTCTAAGATGTAACTAGGACCCAAGACCACAGTGGGTGGGGGTCCAGGGAGTCAAGACAGTTGGATTCTGCTCTCGGACTCTGGTGGACTTTCCCAGGGATGGGTGGGTGCTGAGGCAGTGTTTCTCTCAGATGTGAGAAACCCCCAAGAAGGTATCTTTGAGAGATCATGTCATTTTTAGAAACTGACTGCAGTGCCACGCCAATTACTTTGAACAGTCAGACTTTGTCTAAAAAATTCAGGTTTCCGGCTGGGCCAATATTCCCCACTGTCATAGGTGAGAACTGAGAAGCTCCACACAGGACAGAGGCACCATTTGTTGAGTCTCTGCTTGGCCTTATCAGTCCTCTCCAGCTCCCACTGTGGACACCTCCCACCTGCCACAATGAGAGCTGATCCTGCTCGAGGTCAGCCCAGTAAAAAGTCCCGATTCCACAGCTGCAGTCACAGGATCTTTAGAGACTTCAGAGTGAACACAGGAGCTTACACAGAATCTCATAGGAACCCCATGCTCTGCAGAACACACCTGTAGCACCAGACGTATCTATGGTTCTCCTTTGTACCCAGTTTGAACAAGTCATAAGCTGCGCAGGCTTCTGTGGCACAAGCCCAGGGTTCCTTATGTGTGGGAGGGAGAAAACAAGCCCACAGCAGGTGGGACTATGGGGCCCTTGACCTGCGCAGGGGCAGGCCCTGAGCACGTGGGGGTCCTGGCCTCTTGCAGCTGATCCAGACGGAGCTGGAAGAGGAGCCAGGGGAGCGCAGCCCCGGCCAGGGCAGCCTGCGTTTCTGCCACAAGCCGCCTACCGAGCTCAGAGGGCCAGACGGGATCCACGTGATGCACGGGAGCACGGGCACGCTGCTGGCCACAGACCTCAACAGCCTGCCCGAGGATGACCAGAAGGGCCTGGGCCGCTCCCTGGAGACGCTGACGACGGCCGAGGCCAGCGCCTTTGAGCGCAATGCCCGCACAGAGTCCGCCAAATCCACACCCCTGCACAAGCTTCGTGACGTGATCATGGAGAGCCCCCTGGAGATCACGGAGCTGTGACTAGATGGGGGGAGCCCGCCTGGTATGAGCAGCCCAGCCCCTCCCGAGGCCAGAGCAGGAGCAGGACCTCCAGGGTGCGGGCCCCTCCGGGGGCAGCTCTGGGCACACAACCTTGGGCTGGCCCAGCAGCAGGGCCTGCCTCAGCTGCTCAGACTCCACTTCTGCCAGACGCTCATTCAGCATCTGATCTCTACCTTCATAAAATGTTATTTTTTTAAGAAAACCAAACAAATGGCAAGCATCTAAGGATGAGGTAAGGAGGGTCACCGAGAGCCCAGGAGTCTGAGGTCCAACTCAGCCCAGGCTGAGCTGAAAGAGGCCAAGCCGGCCCACTGCCCCCAACCCTAGCCCCACTGCATGGGAGCCCAGCACTGGGGAGGGAGCCCAGGGCAGGTGTGCCCTGCCTGGCCTTGACTCTTGGACTCCAGTTCAAGTCCCAGGACATTTCTGCCGCTTCCCTGACTGGACATGCAGGTGGGGGCAGTGAGTCCTCCCTGTCTCCCCACACGGACACAGTCAGTGTCAGCAAACAGCATTCTCTCCATTTCACTGGCTTCCCAAACATTCCTGGCTCATAAAGAGAAAAATGACTGATGTTCCCTTGGGTTTTGAATGTAGAATGTTTGTGTGTATCCCCCTTTGAAACTAAGTTATTCCCTCAATATTTTCCCCTTGGTTTTGTTCAATTGGTACGCACTGAATGTCTCTGGAATGGTCTGAATTTTAAAAAGAAAAGCAACTCACAAGGAACCGGCATGTCGCTCTGGTAAACTTACCCGCTGGGCTGGGCTGGGCTGGGCTGGGCTGGGGCAGGGGGCGGTGGGGGTCAGCACAGACCAGAGCTGGACCCATCTCCGGGGGCACTCCCTGACCACTGGTGGCCCGGGGCTGCCACAGAGAACCAGAGATGGGACCTCCTTCCTGTGGCCAAATGAGGCCCAAGGACTGCTGGGCACTTACAGGTTCACAGCCTCAAGAGCTCTTCAGAAGCCAAACTCTGCTGGCTGAGGTATCACAAACACTCAGGCTCTGGTTGACAGACTTTATTGTTAAATCACAGAAATTTTAGTGCAAAACAAACCAAAAAATCAATAGCAACCGCATGTCTTGCTCTCTCCTGGCAACCGGAAGTGGAACAGAAGATGCAGCCAGAGGGGAGAGAAGAAGGCAGGGCGGCAGCCAAGGCCCCGGGACAGCACACCCAGCAGACCTTCTACCTGGAAGCCAGAGGCTTAGGAGCTTGTCATCCACATTTATTGGCAGGTCAAAAAGAACATCTACAAGATGGGGGTCGGAGGGGAGGGGCCGTCCTGCCCAGAACAGTGGGGGCGCTGGGCAGCAAGGCCGACACCAGAGCAGGCAGGAGGCGTCACCATGGTACACACACACACACACACACACACACAAAGCAGGCCCGCAGAACCTGCACAGAGAGCCAGCAGGGTACATTCAGGTGAACTGGTTTTTTCCCCTCCCACCCCAAACCACAGAATCCCAAACAACACATCCATCAGGAAAGACAAGAAAGCCGAACTGAAGGCTGACCCAGGGATAGCGAGCCCCAGCCCACCAGGTCTCCTGAGCAACTGCTTCCAACAGCTCTGTGACAGTGAGACCTGCATTGTTTAAAAAGCATCATTATTCTGAGTCTCTCATCCTTCATATAAAACTGCCTTTATTTTGCAGTCAGCAGGCCCACAAAAGGGGATGGTGACTTGACTCCTTCGTTAGAGTAGGCAGAGGCCTCAGCACCCAAAGCCCAGCCAGAGCCCCCTCTCCTCCACATAACCACACGCAGGGACAGACTCAGAAGACCTCCAGTGTACGCTATGCCGGCGTCTGTCTAGCAGAGAGAAAGGGACACTGAAGCAACGACGTCAGCATGCCACTGACAGCAATGCCACAATGAGGGAGAGAAGAAAGGGACTGAGGGAGAGGGGATCCTATTTCTATAACAAAGTCAACAGATCTGTGTTCGTTCCCCCAGACACACAAGCAGGAAAAGACGCTGCAGTTTCTCCAGGATGGAGCGTGCCTCTAGTTCCACACATGACGCTTGCAGTGCTCGACGGCCTGACGGGAGAGAGGGGACAGTTAAGTCTGCAGGTGACACACTCCACCCCTAGCCCCTTAGCACATGAGCCTGCACCCAGAAAGGGGACCCGATACCCTGGCCCAGATCAGCCAGAGCGCACCACATGCTGAAAACCCAGGTCTTTATCTCCTTTAAACCCAGGCATAATATGTGGTGGGGTTCTAAGACTCTTAAGGCAAGAGTCTAGAGCAGTCCAAGGCAACAGTCCTGCAAGAAGGGCCAGGACCCCGCTGATTACACACCTGAGCCCTGGCACAGAGGGCCCCAAGGCAAAACTCCTCAGCCAAGTCAGCCGTTCACACCAGCTCAGAACTGGCCCAGGTACCCAGGAGAATGGGGGATCCCACTCCACCACTGACTGTGCTGCAGGGCAGGGTACTGGGGCAAGAGGCTCAAGGTGGGGGAGCCTCACACCCACCCTCCCTGCCATAGCCCAAGATGATGCAATGCCCCCAACACTGGCTCACTGAAAGAATCCCACAAGGAAGAGAAAGTTGCGCAAAGAAACATCAGGTAACAGAAGTTGAGACACACATCCCCACCCAGGAAAGCAGCATGGGTCACCCAGTAGTGGCCGCCCAGCAGGGAGCCAACGCCCAAGGTGGTTCGAGAAGAGCTCTGCCAGGCCCTGGTGAAGAACCAGGCCAGGCTCCAGTCAAGGCAGAAGGAGCCCAGGGACAAGAGGCCTTGTGCAAGAATCCAACAGGCCTTGTGCAATCCCTCGGGTGACTGATTTCCTACGAACCTGACCCTGTCACAAGGGAACTGAAGGCAAAAGCAAGAAAGCGGAAGCAAAGAACACTGGAGAACATCCCCTGCAACCCATCACTCCTCAGAGACGAGAGTGCAGTGAGCCCTGCTTTTGCTGGTGACCACACATAAGCCTTACTACACCCCCATCCTAACTCTGAAGACAAAGCAGAGAGCTGAGCGCCAAGGCGCCGGTTAGAGCAGAGCCTCCCTCCCCTCGGCGTCATATACCACGAGAGCGCAGGCACGGGCCTGGCAGGCGGGCCCAGAGCAGTTACTCACGTTGCACAGGGCTGCCGACTCCATGTTCTGGCACCAGTAGCTCGGGCCCCAGACACACTTTTCAGTTCCCAAAAGCGGCTTGCGGGCTGCTGGGCAGGCTCCAATCTTCTACATGGTCAAGAGGAGGAGAAAGTATTAGATCTGCTCAGCTAATCCTTTTCAAAACGGAGATTATCAGCTGCTAGAAGCAGCTAGAATCAAAGCTCTAATAAGCACTTTCCCAAAAAGGCAAGGTTGCTCGGTAAAGTGGTGGGACCTGGATGCCTGACTCTCCCACATACTGTCCCCAGACTCTGCCTCCAGCCCCAGATTTGAAAGGAACCCTTCCAGGGTCCACACAGCACGCCCCTGCCAGGCGGCACTGCCCAGGAAACTACAGCCTAGCACACGGCTTACCAAGCACACGAAGGAAGGGTCCATCACCTCCACCAGGATTTCTATCAGCACCGGCTCATATTCCGTCACAAACTGGTCACACTGGGGGAAACAGCAGTGCAGGTCTGGGTGAGTGCAGGCGGAGCGCGGGCAGACGAGGAGGGGCGCTCTACATGCGCTTCTACCAGAACTCCTGGCCTTGCCAGCCTCCCAGCCTCCCTGCCCAGGTGCTCATTTTCCTCCCGGTGGCTCCACTGGAGTCCACAGGGCACCTTTAAGAAAATCTCAGTGGACTCCATGCCAGAGGCAGAAATGGCAAAACTTCACCCAGAGGTACAGTCAACAAGCACCCAGCTCCTACACTCCCCCAGCAGGTGCTGACATTTGGGCCGAAAGCAGCCCACGGCGTACCTGCTTCTGGTACTGGTCTGGCAGGAAGCTGCAGCCTTTCTCGAGGGCAGCCAGGATCTGCTCCTTGGTGCTGTTCTTCTCCAGGCTGCGGTCCAAATAGCCCACAAGCTTCTTGCACACCTCGCAGAAGCCACCGTCCTTCCTCGGCGTCACACGGACTACACGAGAGAGCCCAGGCTCAGTGCCGGCAAGGCCCTCCCTCACCCAGGAGGGGCCGGTCGGCCTCACCCTCCCCGGGGCTCACCCGTCACGGCCGGCAGCCCCCGGCTGGAGCAGAGGTGGAGCATACTGCACACCAGCTCGGGGCTCGCCTCCTGCAAGAGGATCGACAGGATGGCGCTGCCGTAGGTGTCCACCACCTCCTGGCACTGCTCAGCTAAGGATGCGGGCAGCTTCGAGCACACTTTGTCCAAAGCATGGATTATTTCTTCCTGAAACACAAGGGGAGAGGCTCAGTGAGAAGATGGGAGGCTGCATGGGGGTGAAGAGACTCTGAAAATGCTGATGTGACCAGGAAACCAGCCAACATGCAAGGTGCTGTTTTCTCCCCCAAAGGCTAGAGCTCACAGCAGGGCAGGTGCCTCCTCCAGCCCCAGCCCAGAGCGACCTGCTGGTAGGGAGTGGGTGTTTCGACCTCCAGGCTGGTGTCCCTCACAGGCCAGGGCCAAGCCCAGGTCTGCTGGTCCTCCCACGAGGCCGTTCTGGCTCCAGGGCCAGGAGAGGTTGTCCCTCTGCCATGGCAGACATCCCCAGATCCACGTACCTCAGTCCTGTTGTTGTCAATCAGCTTGACCACCTCCTTCACCACATACTCGCACACCTCACAGTAAATGTCAGCCTTCGCGGGGGCTGGGTCCTTCTGTTAAAAGGGCAGGAGAAGAATACTGACACCAAGAGCCTCGCCTCACCCTTTGGTCCTGCTCCTCTAATAGGGGGCCGAGGCCAGGACGGGCTAGCGTCACCCAGAAGCCACCTTCTGCTGCTTTCAGAATAGGGTGTGGCTTCTTCCTAGTGCCTGAGCCCTGGTCCCTGCTCTTCCTATATGGTGGGAAACCCGGCCCTTTCCCTAATCCTCCACCTCCCACCCAAAACTACGAACAGAAGCAATGAAACTGTCCCCCAACCCTAGAGAGCTGTGAATTCAACATCTGTTTGGTTCAAAGTACCTCATCATTCAGCATTCATTCTGGGGAGATGAATGAGGCACTAGCAACAGAGGTATTCTACTATTTAAAAGAAAGTTTCAAACACATCTGAGGTCATCTCTTGACTTTCAAGTCTCAGCACCTGAAATTTCTTTTCTAGAGCCTATCTTTGATAAAACAGTGTTGAACAGAACTTTCCATGACAACCTTCTCTAGTTGTACCATCCAGTAGAGCAGCCACTGGCCATGTGTCTACTGAGCACCTGAAATGTGCCCAGTAACCAAGGAACTGAATTTTGTTTTTAAATTTAAGTACCACATATGTCTAAGAGTACAAGCTATACCTCTCCATTTTGTCTGGCCACTAGCCACTAATCCAGTCAGAGAGATGGGCTGCAGCCTCTGAGCATCTGGACTGGGCAGGAGTGGGAGGGGCAGTCAGACACCTAACCCATGCGTGGTCCACACAGGGCACATGCTGAGATCGCAGGAGGAGACAAGACCGCTAAAGGTCAAGCAACACTGACATGGAAAGCTCCAGAACAACAAGTGCACACACGTGCCATGTGGTGAGACACCACACTCCTGGGTGCTCCTTGAACACAGGATGACTCTGTTCAGTGTTGACGAGCTACTGTAGGCCTCAGTCTCTAAAACACTATCTCACCCATAAGAAGTGCTGAACAGAAGTCAAGTGTGGAATGAAGGAGATCTTTACCAAGTGCAGGACGCTAAGGAAACAAACAACACCCAAGCAGAAACAAACAGGCAGCAACACCCAGAGAAGCTCCTGCACGAACCCTGGGAGTGTTCTGGGAACATCGAGCTGGGACCATGGCTACAGTGCGGGCAAGGATGTGGGAGCGGCCACAGAAAGCACACCAGAAAGGTTTGGCTGGAGCCAGGCACTGAAAGGAGAAGGCAACGGCACCCCACTCCAGTACTCTCTCCTGGAAAATCCCGTGGACGGAGGAGCCTGGCGGGCTGCAGTCCATGGGGTCGCTAAGAGTAGGACACGACTGAGCGACTTCACTTTCACTTTTCACTTTCACGCATTGAAGGAGGAAATGGCAGCCCACTCCACTGTTCTTGCCTGGAGAATCCCAGCGACGGGGGAGCCTGGTAGGCTGCCATCTATGGGGTGGCACAGAGGTGGACACGACTGAAGTGACTTAGCAGCAGCAGGCACTGAAAAATGACCTTGGACGGTGTGCTAAACACACAGACTTGATCCCATGAGCACTAGGGAGTATAACTCAGGAAAGAAATATATGACAATGAGGGTGCTGCATTAGTTTAGGGGAATGCTATAAACTAATGGACTCAAATGCAAGTAACCTCAGAAACCAAGCGGGGAACCACAGGCGTGTGTGCTGCGTAGGGCGTGACAACGTGGAGTGGCAGGGCATCATAAAGCAATGGCACCAGGTACCTTGATGGGCTCCACCAGCTCCAGGGCGGGGATGACGTTCTCCGAGACCACCTCAGCAGGGACCAGGGTCTTCATGGGCATCTCCTTCACCTCGTCACAAAAGCCAACCAGCACACAGATCTCCTTGGGTTGCTGAAAAGAGCACAGAAGCAGCTGTTGAGAGCAGGCACGCATTCCCCACACACACTGACCCACGCTCTACACACAAAGGTCAGGGCGCCGGAGGCACATCCTGGACCCAGCGTCTCACTCAATCTAAGGGCTTGTGATAATACAGATGTACCAAGGAGGCCATGCAAAGCTTTGAAGGCAGATCAGCAACCAATGTCGCTCCAGCCAGGGAGCACCCAGGGAAGCACGACTCCCGGCACCTTTCACCGGCAAGCAAATCCTCTCCAGGGCCACCTGGTCTGTTCTAGAAACTGTTTTCCCGTTGACCTGGCTTGCTCTCAGAAGGAAATAAGCTATATGTTCTTTTTGGAGGAAGAACCAGCATGCCCATGACCTAACAAAGCCCCAAGTGATACAAATAAAACCATACCGGATCTTTCAGTGGCAGGACCATTAAAAATGATGCATTAAGGGGAAACACTGGCTTTATTTATAAAATCACAGTCTGTGTTCAAAATGGCACACACACAGCACACACCAAAGCCCAGTCTCCCCAAGTGATGAAGCTGTTCAAGTCAGAAGATCTGCAGATTGATCTCCTTCCCCTCCAGACACCAAACCACAGAGAACTAGAGTTTGGACAACACCTTGACCATTTCACTATGAAGGTGGCCAAGAGCAAGTGAGGTATACATGCTGGGTATACCCTGTAAACAAATGCGCTCAGCAACTCGCTCTGGCCTGATGGCATCTGCCTCCCACCACCAAACCATAAAGCAGCGAGAAGATTGTTGAAACAAGCCCTGTTAATGGGAGAGCGCGAGCCCACTGCCATGGCTCATGGTATCCTATCTCTGACAGGCTTTAAGAATGGGGAGAAAATCAGAAAAGGGTTGGAGACAGAGCAAGCTTTTTAGAAAAAAGACCAAGATCAGGAGGTATGGCTGCTTTGTCTCTGACCAGTTTTGCTATACTAACTCCTTGAGGAGGCCTAGGTGAAAATACAGATATTTCAACCAAGGTGCTCTCCTATTAGACTTCACAATACCTTTGAAAATCTTGAATTCTAGAACTAGATGAGGGCAGTGCTCAGTACAACCCTGAAAGGGCGCTGGTTAAGTAAGTCCAGTCGGGGGGCTCGGTCCCCAGGTTTTGCCACCAGTGGCCTTGCTCTTGAGCTGTCTCATGTGGCTCCAGAACCCAAAGGACCCCATCACCCGGAGGGGCAGAAGCTATAATCAAGAGATTGTTTCCAATTCTCTGGATCCAACAGACAGGGGAACAGTCTGCTCGCTATTTGCAAATGACCCGCTCATGCAGCAGAAGCATTTCTGGGCTGATGGAAAACATGCCTGTGACATGCAACACTCTCCTGAGTCCTGACAGAAACAAGGTGTCCCACTGGGGTCAGGCCTGCACTGTGGAAAGCAGTGGCCGCAGGCCGCCCATGGTTCCCACCCACGGGTGGCCTGCGCGTGGCCGGCTCCTCCCTGATTCTGACCAGAGCATAAGGCTCTGCAGGCTTCCTTTTCTGGTCCCCCTGAAGGGGAAATGAAACCCCTGACCCCTCCAGTGCTGAATCACACAGGAGAGAGGTAGACTCTCCCCCTGCAGCCGATTTATTAACAGAGAGAGGAGGCCTACCTGTCACAATCGTTCCTTGTATCTGTCAGAGCTGATTATGCCATACAAAAACAGATGAGCAAAATAACTAAAAGAAGCAGCAAACCACTACTACAAGCAAATTCCCATCACATACCTGATCCTGCTGTTGAACAAAAAAAAACAGGAAATCGGAGATGAAAATAAGAGAAAGGAAAGGACACAACAGTTAAGAAAAAATTAAAACAACAATAATCAAGCAGTTAACTAGGTGTAAAAATGTCTGTCACCAGAAGTCTAGGGGAAATGCCCTTTCAGGCATCTTATCAACAACCTACCTTGCTCCTACTACTGCCTGCACATGGGGGCCTGAAAGCTGCCCTCCCCTCAAGAGTCAGACCACGCTGTCCAGCCTGTCCGCGCACTGTCCCCTTGCCCCTGACACCGAGTCAGAACCCTGAGTGGCAAGTCCCCGGAGAGCACCAGTTATGAAGGGCTCTTCTCACTCAGAAGCCAAGCCCACCTCGCCTGCAAGGCCCTCACCTCAGGCTGGTGATGAGCAGCCAGGAACAAGACACAGGGCTGCTCAAATCAGAGCACCGTCTTAGAACATCAAATATACCCGGAGGTGACGGAGGTGAGGGACACAGGAGGTGAGGTCAGGGAGCCTGGCCCAGGTCTCAGGGCAGACTGCCCCCAGGTGGCCAAATGCCAGCTGGGAAGGCTGGTCTGCCAATGCAGGCATACCTCATTTTGTTGAGCTTCACAGATTATACAAATTGAAGGTCTGGGACAACCTTGCTTCAAAAGCAAGTCTACTGACCCCCCCCGCGCTGTTACACTTGCTCACTGCAGGTCTGTGTGTCAACTTTTGGTAATTCCTGCAGTATTTCAAATTTTTCATCTTAGGTGATCTGTGTGATCAATAATCTTTAATGTTACTACGATGACTCACTAAAGGCTTCAATGATAGTATTTCTTAGGAATAAAGTATTTTTATTTAAGGTATATACATTGTTTCTTTAAACCTAATGCTACTGCAGACTTCACAGAGTGTGGTACAAATGTAACTTTCATATGACTGGAAAGCCAAAAAATTCCTTTGACTCATTTTATCATTGTATGATTCACTATACTGCAGTGGTCTGAAACTAAACCTGTGGCATCTTCAAGGTAAGCCTGTGTACCAAAAGCCCTGCCCTTTATTCAGCAATTCCAGTCTTACTTACCAGTTACCTATCTTGAGGGAAAAAAACAGGGATGTGCATGTCTATCTCTTTGGCTCTATGGATGTTCATCATACTTTTTATCCTAAGAGCAACCTGAAAACAACCTTAACACCAGCCATAAGGAATTTTATCTATACAATGAAATATTATGCAGCCATTTAGCAATCATACATGCAGAATATTTAATGACTAAGACAAATTTAGACAAAAAATGCAAAAATATGGGTAATTATCCCTATTTCCAAATATGTCTATGCAGCATGATTTTTAAAAATAATAAAAGTATTTTGTTAGCTACGATGAAGCATTTAACTAGACCACGGGTCACATCAAAGGCTTATTTTTTCCTGCTTTAGCAGCATGTCTTTGTATGCAAAAGCCCTTTGCCTTTAAGCTATTTTTAGAACAAGGCAGGGTTGTGAGTAATATTTCCACAAAAATTCTATTGTGCCTGATGGTACCCCTGAGTGGTCAGATCAGGGCCAGAGAGTAACTCACTTAGACTTTACAGGCCCTAAGGTCTCAACTACTCAACCCTACTATTATAGTGCAAATATGGGTATTACTATATTCCATTAAAACTATTGGGCCATAGCTTTCTGATCCCTGGTTAGAGAACAAACTTAAGAACTGTAGGCCAACCTCAACGTAGTTAGGAAGTTAGCATGACAGAGAGAAAAGCAGTATTAAATACAACCCACCCCTCACCCACTGCAGATTAGATCCTAGGAGGCCAGGGCATCCTAGGGTGCCTTCAAACCACCCTGCTCTGTACAGTTTCCTGCATGGAGCTAGCTGGCTTCCCTCTACGCAATGGATGTTTCCTGCCTAATAATGGAGGACCACCCCCGACCACCTGGATGTATCAGAAGCAAGTGCAGCGGTTACGGGCTCAAGCAGCAGTCACAGCCGACATTGCTGCAGAGCGAGGACCAACTATGGGAGGCGGATTCTGCCCGCTCAGAACTCAAGCTACAACAGAGCAACCCTCAGGCCTGGCCGAGCTACAGAGCAGACTATTCCCACGGGTCCCAGAATGAAAGCCAGATACCAGAAATCTGATGGCCGGCTCACAGACACAGAGGCAAACAAACCGCCGGGAAGCCACCACGGCAGTCCCAAGGGTCGGGCTGCCTCCGCCTTTCCCCAGCCCGGGGAACACCAGGGGGAGGTACTAAACTGCAAGTGGTCAAAGAGGGCTCCTTTTGGTTTAATTCAGTACTAGGGAAAATAAACTGTACAATTTTCAAAATCCTAGAAATCACAGCCTGAGACAAAGAGAAACGGTAACAAGGAGCTTCCCCCACGACCTACCATATGCATCACCATTTGGATAGCAATTTCCGAATACTGGTTGATGTAGTTCTTGCACTGGGGAGACAGAAACAGACTTTTAGTAAAACTACTACCACAACACACCAACACTCCAGCCTTTCCAACAGTGTCAATATGCAAATATCAAGGCAAGTTTCCAAGAGCAGAATCATAAATGTCTGTTCTGGGCAATGGCCAAGTGTTTTGAAACTGTTTTCCAAAGGCCGGTAGAGATGAGGTCCTCCAGTCTCCTTTTACGGCCCTTGCTTTCTCCAAGGTCACACAGCAACTACTTAGGGACAATTCAGGGCAACTGTGAGATACACTGATCAGTTTGAGATGACTTCCCAAATTGTTCACACAGTCTTAGACAGGATTATAAAGTTTACATCTAGTATAATCCAGTTAAGTTATAATGACTTTCATAAATATCTAGGTATTTCTTGCAGACCCTCTGGTCATGACTGTGAAGTGTCTATAAGAAAATGGAGGGTGATATAACAGTCCTCAGAGAGGTTAGCATGGGGAAGCCAACTGACACAGCAAATGTACAAAAACACTTCAATGAGGCTAAAAGAGTTCCAGGTTTAAGTGGACAGAAAGGGGCCCTTAGCTTCCAGAGCTCTACCCAGAAAGCCTGCTCTAGGACCCAGACCCGGGAGTCCAGGTCTAGCAGAGGTTTGGTTTCCTAGTTGTCAGTCATTAAACAGCTGGTTTCAGATGTCAATCTCATGAGTGTGGTTAATGTGAACAGGGTCCAAGAAATAAAACCCTTGTGGAGCTAACAGAATTTCTGAGTCCACAGGACCAACATTCTCCAGAGTTAAAGAAGGGGTGCCAGGCGAGCCTCCTGCCAGCCAGGGGCCTGAGCTTCTCCTAGGGAACGGCCCTGCTGGTGGCAGGGACAGCACAGTTAGAATTATGAATATACGACAGCCCAACCTTTCAAACCAGGGTTCTACGTGGCTCTCTTCTTGTTCCTCACACACGTGGCAACTGAGAGAAAAGAACAATCTCTTCCTCAGGGCCCTTAAGTGGAACCTGAAGTGGTACCCCAGAAGTGAACTTTCTTGGCTGTCCCACTCTTGTCTCCAGAGCCCAGCTCCCTGGCCCAGAACATCCTGCGATGCAGGAGGCAAAGCTCACCATGTCAGACATGCCGGGCCCCAGGCGGTCGCACTCCTCCTTAGCGTGGTCCACCAAGGCCTCGACAAAGGTGGAGTTGGTCCTCAGAGCTTCCTGGACGTCAGTTACCATTTGAATGCAGTCCTGGCAGACGTTCCCATTAGCCTAGACAGATGGGATGGTTAGGCCATACACCCTCCTTAAACAGCTCAGGATATTCAGGTTCCTGCATGTTCACACTATAGCACTAGAAGTGAGTCCCTAAACAGTTCCTAATGTGCTTTTATAGACTCTAAAGTGACTGAAGCTTAAAATCATGTGGGCATTTATTACAGTGAAACTTAACAGGAAAGGGGGTGTGTTAAACATCCCATGGCACAACCAGCCGAAGGGTGGCTGGTGGAACTGTGGAGTCAGCTGAAGGAATGAGGCCCCAGTTTCAGAACTGTACACACTGCCCCTTCTGTGTCTCAGCTCCGGTTCCACCCCAACCCCAAACGGGGCCCTGGGCAGCCTGGCCCACCGCCTCACCTTCCTGGGCTGCGGCCTGCCGTGGGAGCCGTCCTGGGGGTACAGGAGGAGGGGGATGTTGGCCATGAAGGGAGCCACCACCTCAGCCATGTCCCGCTCCGGGATCTGATTGGACTCGAGCTGCTTCTGGTGATTCAGCTCCGCCAGGTGCTTCTGAAGAGACTCGCAGAGGTTGAGAGCGGAGCACACCTCCCCGGGACGGCTCTGGGGGGAAAGAGGCCCAAATGGAAACCCTTGCCCCAGAAGGAAACAGACCACCCGGCGCCTCAGAATTCTCCCTTTCCTCATCTCCTGGCTTGACTCACGTGCCCATGTCCAGCTCACAGGCAACTCACACTAAACCACCCAGCCCTCCGCAGCTCCATTTTAACAAATGGTTCTACCACCATCCTCCCAGAGGCACCGGCCACAAACCTGGAAGGCATGACTAACTCTTCCATTGCCTGCAGTCCCATCCACCAGCAAGTCTAGTCTGTTTATCCTCTAAGACAATGTGCAGCTCTCCGCCTCCCCTTCCCCCCTCACATCTCACACCTGACCGTCCCGCCAGCTTCCCCTCTTGCAACTCCCCATTGGTGGGACCCAGACCAATTACCCCTGAACAAGGATCCTGTCACTTCTCCCGTGAACCCCTCCCAGGGCTCCCCGCGGCACTGGCAATGCTGGAACATGGCCTGAGGTCTTGTGGTAACCCCTGCTTCCACACCAAAACTGTGGTCCCCACCCAGGACACCCCTGCCCTACTAGAGGTTTTTAAAGTCTTTCCAAATTCATGAACTTGGCTCCTTGTTCCTTGGGGAAAACTCAACCTATGACATGTGATTTATGCATAATAGATACTTATTGAATGAAAGTCGAAGGGAGGTAGGTTCAGATGGGGAACACATGTAAATCCATGGCTGATTCATGTCAATGTATGGCAAAAACCACTACAATATTGTAAAGTAATTAGTAATATTGTAAAGTAATTAGCCTCCAACTAATAAAAAATAAAAGAAGAAAAAAGTTGAGCATCCTTATGGCTGACATGAATTATCAAACCAACACCTGTAACTGTACACCACTACATTCGTACACCACTACATTCCCTCAATAATTCTATGAGTTCCCATATTTCCTATACCCTCCCCAACCCTTGAACATTACAAGCTGAGCGGTTGGCTGTGCCAAAGCCATTCTGGATGTTAAAACTGTAGAAAAGATCTGTTGACAAAATCCCAATCTATCAATGAACTCTCCATCAAGGTCACTGTAATCTGATCTGGAACCTCCCCTGGCTCCAGAGGTGCCCTAAAAAAAGAGGCTCTTCTCCATCACGTACCATCTGTCCTTTAATCATGTCCAGGATGACTGGGAGGTATGAGTCGACGATCTCCTTGCAGGAGGCAGACATATTCGGCTTAGGCAGCCAGTCACAGGTCCTCTCCAAGTACATGAGGATCTCTTGCTAGAGAGGACAGAGGCAAGAGTCAGACCAGAATGGACTTCTTCTCCGCCAACGGGCTGAATGCAAGAGGCCCTCCAGCTCCAGCGGCCCTCAGGGAAGAGGCCACGGGAGAGGGATAGTGAGGAGCCGTGGCTTTTAGACCAATGATGCAGAGAGCAGACGCAAGCACTATTCAAAACAGAGATGCTCAAACCTGCAGTCTCACAGGCACAGGGAATTCTGAGCAGAAATTGCCAAAAATGAACCTAAAGGTTAACAGCATGTGATACAAAACCCCAGTTAACCGTGGGCCTTTAATGCTGAGCTCAGCAGTCAGCAAACTAGCACCCATGGCTTGTTTCTGTACAGCCTGTGGCTAAGGATGGTTCTTACATTTCTAAAGGACGGGGGTGGGGGGACTGCATGACAGAAACAGTCTGTGGCCCGTGGGACAATTATTTCCCACCTGGGCCTGGACCATTCATAGTTGGACCCCGAGAATCACAGCTCTGTGCACGGCCAGAGCCGCCACTCACACATGGTCACACACACTGGTGGTGGCTCACCTCAGTGGCGTTGTCTTTCAACATGTTACCAGCTGCAGTGATGACATCTTTGCATATGTCACAGGGAAGGGATTTCTAAGAAGAAAGAACACAAGAGAGATCCGTATTTGTAGGACAAAACTCACATCACACATGGGTGAAAACCACTGCGGCCTTTTTTCTCACTCCACCTAGCCAGGGCCACCTCTGACACGCCGGCACATGGCAGTCCCCCAACCTGGGTGAGAAGCACTGGACACCGCAGGGGAGGATCATAAGTGACCAACCACACTACTCTCTGCTTCCGTGGGCCGGAAACCCTCCTCCTGCACCCTCTACCCCAGAGCACCTCACGCAGTGCATCTGGCACCAGCCACATTTCCTATTCCTGCTCACAACACACCTGGGAGGAAACTGAGGCTCAAAATACATCAGCCGAAGGGACTTCCCTGGTGGTCCAGGGGCTGACTCCATGCTCCCAAAGCAGGGGGCCTGGGTCTGATCCCTGGTCAGGGCACTACATCCCACATGCCACAACCATGTCCACTGAAGATCCTGCTTGCTGCGACTAAGACCTGGTACAGCTGAAGTAAATGGAGTGAAGTGAAAGTCACACTCAACTGCGTCCGACTCTTTGCAGCCGCATGGACTATACAGTCCCTGAACTCTTCAGGCCAGAATACTGGAGTTGGGTAGCCGTTCCCTTCTCCAGGGGACCTTCCCAACCCAGGATCGAACCCAGTCTCCCGAACTAGTCTCCTGCCTTGCAGGCAGATTCTTTTACCAGCTGAACCATGAGGGAAGCCTAAGTAAATAGTTATTTTTAAAAACTAACTAGAAATCAGAGTAGCAAAAATCAGAGAAAGTCAGTACTGTGATGCAGAGAGAGGAGAGGAAGGCAGGGAAACAAGGCCCAGCCAGACCTCTGCACATTCACACTGGCACCACTGCCAGTACGTCGTCTGCTGTCCACCTCCTGGGCTGTGCTGCACGCCAGCGGGGGCCACACGTCAACCACTGCAGAGCTCAGAGATGGCCCAGCACCATGGAAAGTCTAGCCAGTCCTCAAAGCTTGTGGGGTGTTCCCTTCCGTATGTCAACTGATTTTCGACCCATGAAGAAGGAACTGACATATCTCAACTGACACAGGTGAGATAAAGGAACACCTGTGAATTCAGCTGCATTTAGAGAAACTGCCTTGAATCTTTGGAACTAATCAGGCTAATCCCATGCATGGGGCCACTCAGGCATCCTGAATGAATGCCTGCGAGGTTCAGGTGTCCACAAGACTGTCCTGTCAAGAGAGACAGACATCTAAAAAGTTCCCCTCATGACATACTCAACTTCAAAATAGGAAGCAGTATTAAAAACAAGACCAGAAGCAAATGAGAAACAAAATCTGAGATCCTGGCCACGGACGGCAGGTCAAGAGTGAATTCAGACTTAAAGGGCAGTATTATTTACTTAATTCTTCTTCTCTCCTACTGAAGTACCAGGAGCCACTGACAAGTTTTAAGACTTCAAGCTCCACACAGTCAAACCTGGCTTGTACCATGGGTGGAAGCACATCCCAGAGTCGGCTGACTCAGCCAGCAGAGCTTGGGAGTCTCCTGAGAAGGTTCAGATCATGTGCAGTGAGCACTAGAGGTTTGTCATCTCAAGAGTATTACCACATTAATGTGCTATATATTTATCACTGTTCAGAGGAAAAATCAGTGGCATCTTTTCCAGGTTGACCAGAGCTGGAAATAAAATTCTCAACAGCTACCAAGCTCTAGGGTCTGAATCAATGATGTGCCTGTTTGAGAGGCAGAGAGAGAAAATACTAAAAGAAGGGGAAAAGATCTTCAAAAGCTCAGCTTTGAAGTGAGTGGCAAGGGCAGAGCTGCACCCACTGCACAGCCCCGGGAGTGGCGGCCACACCTCATCTGGGGCAGAGGGGGCAGAGTGGAGGCCTCTCACCCTATCCGTGCCTGGACACACCGAGTGACCGGGGGACGAGGCACCTCCCCTCTCCAGCCCTCCAGCCCGCCTGGTGAGTACCCCGCCCCGCCACCACAGACAGGCCCTGCCTCCCCAGGGTCATCGGGAGGAGCAAACAAGAGGAGGCAGGAAAGCGCACCTCGTCGAGGGCGGCAGTTCCAGACACTGAGGACACTCACCACAGTCGGCTTGTTCCAGACGGTCTGCAGGCAGTGCTGCACGGCCCCGCAGTCGGACGCCGTCTTCACATTCTGACACCACACGGCCGAGCCTCTGGTACATTCCCTCAGGCCCAGGATGGGGCTGGCAAGAGCTGCAAGCAGAACTGGCGTGAGCACATGGCCCACTCCCACAAGGCCCGAACCTCCCTCGCTTCCCCAGGACAGGGCCCCGGCATCCTGTGGGAACCCTAGGCCGCCCCCACCAGCTAAGCAGACTCGCGTCACACAGCCAAGGAGCGGCATGGTCACCTGCGTCCCGGGGTGGGGAGGGACGACCCATCTGGTTCACTGTTTTCCTCTGCCACTATTTTAAGAACAGTATCAGGCAACAGACCAATCATTTTAATCTTTACAATCTTAAATTTCCATGAAGTAAAGAAACAAATCAAAAAATAAAAGACTGGCAGGTTTAAAAACAGAAGATTCAAACTTCTACAAAATGAAAAATAGCCAAAGCTTAAAAAACTATAATGAGACCACCAAGATTCATAGCCTATAAACCAATGGCTCTTGCGGTCTCAGTCAATCCTAAAGGAAATTAGTCCTGAATAGCCACTGGAAGGACTGATGCTGATATTTCTGGCCACCTGATGCGAAGAACTGACTCATTTTGAAAAGACCCTGATGCTGGGAAAGATTGAAGGCAGGAGGAGAAGGGGATGACAGAGGATGAGACGGCTGGATGGCATCACTGACTCAATGGACATGAGTCTGAGCACGCTTTGGGAGTTGGTGATGGACAGGGAAGCCTGGCGTGCTGCAGTCCATGGGGTCACAAAGAGTCAGACATGACTAAGCGACTGAACTGAATGTTGTTGTAGTAGATAAGATCCTTTATAAATCAATTGGGTGAGTTTCTGCACATAAACAAATCTACTAGCAAAAAACAAAACTACATAGCCACCGAGATATCACAAAGTGTGTGTGTCCACTGAAAACCAGCTGCACGCATGGAGTTTCATCTATGGTGTCTCAAGGGAAGTACCTGCATGGAAGTCACAGCCACAGAAATGGGATTAGCCAAAAAAATAGAGATCTAAGTCACCTGGGACCAAAGAAATGCAAGTTAAAGTGAGAAGGTACCATATTTCTAAATAGCTAAGGAGAAACAACAACCTTGCCACAAAACAGTGACAAATTTGTGGTGAAAATGCATTAATATAAGGCTGACAGCAGTGTGACTGGTAAGTACTTCTCAAAATATATTAATGCATTTTAAGAACTGGAGAGAAAAATTCCTCTTCAAAAGTCCACTTCTAATAAAACACTGTCAGGAAATACAGTAATTCAACAGGTAAACTAAAATATGCATAAATATATATAATATATAAAGCAAAAGTTACAATACTAAAAAAAGGAGGATGTAATCTGAATGGTCAAAAAATCAGGGGAAACTAGTGATTATTACCAAAATATGCAGCTGCTAAGTATACTTATAAAGATGATGTATGTCAAACAGAAAAAAATTCGAAAAGAATACAAAATTGGGGTTTTACAAAAATCCGAAAATAAAACAGTGTGGTTGGCTAAATTATTTAATCCCCAATGGCATGTTGTGTGTGTGTGATTTTTAAACAACACTTTATAAACTGCCTGAGAGCGCTTGTGTGTTTCTTAAAACAGGTCTATGGTATTCCTTGATTCTGTAACTGAAAACCAGCAAGAAAACTCACATTCACACCTCACTAGGAAACTACAGGTTCTATCAGGCTGCGCGTAGAAGGACGGCTGCCCAGGGGTCAAATTCCAGCATCTATCATGACAGGGCTGAACTAACTTCTATTGCAAACAGAAAACGTTTGGTGAGGGTCTGAGAAGGAAACCCCAGAGCCATGAAACAGACAGATTTAGCACCTCAGGCGTCATGCTGCTTCACCCTGTAAATGGAGAGAGGACCAGGTCAATTCTACAGGCACCTCTCTCTGCCCCACCCCGGACTACACACAGGGAGGGGGGCAGAAGGAAATGCTGTTGCTGTAACACTTTACTAGCATTCAAGCCTAGTTATAGTTCCACAAACTATTTATGCAAAGATGGGAGTCGCCCATTACCACAAAGCTCAAGTCAGATGACGTGCGCCCCTTCAGACACCAATAAACAAATTCCTAATCTGCTGCCCAGATTACAGCCCTCTCTGACCTTTCGGAGCAAAAACATCACAACCCACAACCAGTTCATGAGCTCAACAGAACTGGCCGCGTGCCAAAAGCTGTTGGTTTGGTCTGGTCTCTGTGGGAAGACACGTGCCAGGTGCATAACAGCAATGCTCTCCCAGACAGTGAGCTGTAACAGCCGAGCGAGGCTGGGCCTCTGCTGCAGGTGGGGGAGGCCGGAGGGGGGCAGACCCGAGGCTGAGGGCTCCGAGCAGCAGCGAGCGGGTCACAGAGACAGCCCCAGACCTGGCGGCGACCAGCAGCACCTCCCACGCTCCTCCCAGGCACTGGTCTCCGGGTTCTCCTGAACGGCACCCACGAAGACACACTGCCTGCTTCCATCTCCACACAGGGAACACAAATTATCGACAGGAGTCTGCAAAATGAGTCACTGGGCAAAGGCACACACAGTGGTACAGAGAAGCCAGAAGGATGGACCTCAGCAGATAAAAGCAGGGCCAGTGAGCACCACTGCCTGCACAGGGCCCGACCACCACTCCCCATCCTTCCAGACACAGTCATGGACAACTGTCATCAGCTTTCATCCGGGATTGTCTCCGACTGTCCCAGCTAGGAACTGACCAAAATCTATCAGGTTTCAGGAACACAAAGCACTGTCACAGGCCCAAGCAGCAAGAACGCTTTGTAACTTGTTTACTCCCTTAGGAACTTAAAGCAGTAACCACCTGCTATATAGACTTTGTAACTTGTTTACTCCCTTAGGAACTTGAAGCAATAACCACCTGCTATATAGACTTTGTAACTTGTTTACCCCCCTTAGGAACTTAAAGTAGTAACCACAACTATAAAGACTTTGCTACTTGTTTTGGCCAAGCCATTCTAGACTAAAAAAGTAGCCCCTTTTATCTGATAGTGGTCAAGCTACCAAGAACCCAAGGTCATTTCCCAATGCCAACAGTTACTGAGTAGTAACAAGCCTGCACCTCAGAACTAGAGATAAAAGGTATCCAAGGGAACCCATCTGGTAGACCTAAGAGGTCACCCAATCCAAGCCTAAGAGAACATGGACACTGAGAAATGAAAACCGAAGCCCTAGCTCCTAGAAATTCAGTTCTCAGCTAGACATCCCCATTCACCTCCAACCTAAAGCCAAATTTACAAAGGTGCATGTTATTAAAATGGCCTGTGGTGGGATTTCCCAAGATGACCTGAAACAACTGCGTTTTCTCAGATTGGTAATGAGGCTGAAACAAGCCTGGTGGTGCCTGCGAGCTACCTGCTGAGGTTCGGGGCTTATTTCAGGAGCTGGTCTCTTGGAACCAAACAGTGGGTCAGAACAAGTTTTGGACAAAAATCCTTTCCCCAGAAAATGCACTTGTTCACAAAACCCTCACACCCCTTCAAGGGGCTCTCAACAGTGCTGCACAGAGCAAGCTCTAGCGGTAAGCATGGGCTTTCTCCACAGAAGCGGGAGAACAACTAAGATGAAGATGCAATCATTAACCCCACTGAGACAAGCACAGGGCCCTTGGGAGGGAGATCAAGGTGAAGACAGACAGACTCCTGGACCCCAGAGCAGAAGGGACAGACACTGCACCAACAGAATCCTCGTGCTGCAGGCCTGGGAGCAGCGAGGAGGATGCCAGACTGCCTGGGGCAGCCAGGGGCGGCTTCTTCAAAAAGGAAAACTGAAGTGGCACTTGAAAGACGGTCTAAAGAGAGACGGGGTGTGTGTTGGGGTGGGGGGCGGGGCGCAGTTGGGGGGGGTTGGAGACCGCGCTTTCTCTCTGCAGGAGCCAGGCTGAAGCAGACCTCAGGCCCACCGGGAAGGGCCTGGCTGGCACTCCTACCTTGTGACGGGTCCCGCGGGCGACAACAGCACATGAGTGTCACCAGCTGGGAGGCGGGAGAAACGAGAGGGAGATGGGAGATCCGATGACGGGCACCTAACGGAGTGCAGGGCTCAACCCAGAAAGACCAAGCAGGAGTGGGGCAGCAGGAATGAAGGGGACGGCTGGACAAATAAAACCCTCTGGGTTGGGTTTAAATCTGCAGTCTGCACACCTGGAAGAGAGAAGAGGGCAGCAAGAGCCAACAGCAGGAGGACGGAGGTGGGGTCAGACCCCGGGACACAGGCAGGCAGAACACAAGTGTGCGCCGACTTCCGGGGACAGTGAAGGGTGCGCTAGGGTTGGGGGGGCGGGCGGGAAGGGGACGCCCCTCAGAGACTGGAGGTGTTCAGCTGGGAAAGAGACCATTTCCAGGATACGCACAGTTATCCTCACAGGTCAAGGACACCGTCCACCCCTGACGTGGGGGCAGACCTGCTCTGGGCGGTGGTTTCAGACCCCAGACCTCAGACCTCAGAGCAGTGGGGAGAGGTGAAGGGAAGCAGACTGCAGCTTAAGGTAAGAAGCATTAACATCCACAGCACATAAAAAGGGAGTGGGCTGGCTCATTACATGATGAGCTTGCCAAGAGCAGGAGCAACCAAGGAAAGGAAATGCCCAACCTGTGAGGGATTCTGTGTAAGAGGGATCCTGAGTGGTGAGCGGGGGAGGGCCTCTAGAGGCTACAAGTCTTCACTCTCATAGTAACGAGGCAAATGACATTCAGTATTTACACATAACCAATGTTGAAATTACCCTAAACTACTTTCTTAGGTGCTATTTCTCAAAACATGTTCCCAGAAAAGCTTTCATCTCTATTTTGATCTTCCCACACTGCCCCCAAATACCAACTTCCTTCTCTGAGGCAACAGGGTGAACTCGAAGAAAGTTCTTAGAATGTCTGCCTGACCCCCTGGAGATTTCTGATTTAAGTCGGTCATATTAAGTAGGATCACTGCTCAGGGTGAGGCAAGCACTACACTTCTTAGTTCAAGGGCCTGGCATTCGAGACCTCAGTGACAGGTGCTGGTGGGCTGAAGTCAGAGGAGCAACGGCTTCAGAGACCCTGAACACCATAGGCAAGTTCCA